CGGCTCCGTCTTTCCAAGCTGAGGTAGGCAGACGTGGGGTGCCCACCCTGGCAGCAGCGGCGGCCGCACATCGCGTCCTGCGTGCCCCCTCCGTCTTTCAAACCAGCAGGGTGAAGAAGAGGATGAGTTTTGTCCATCTGGCCAGGCTGTACTTTTCCTTCAAGGTGACTTATTTTCACCCGGGCCTAGGGAGACATTTAAGGCGGCCTGCAAATCATGCAGCGCCTGAGAGGACAACCCTAAATGATTGACACAGTACACCCTTCTCCTTCCTGCTCGTGGGGTTGGGGTCTTCACGGCCTTTAGGTTTGCAAATAGGATCTGTTTGCTTCAGGGGTCCCATGGCGTTTTGGAAGTTGATACACCTTTGCAGTTACTGAGGAAGGAGTGGGTCTGGCTCAGCGCACAGCCTGAGGGGTGCGGTTCCCTCCTGTGCTGTGGGCCCCAGAAACCCTTTAAGGCTGGAAACATTTTAGAACTTACGATCCGTTGGAAAACCATTAATGTGTAGCCGGTCTTGGGTACACGGAGCACAGACCATCTGGGGGAAGCGGAGCTGCAGCGAGAAGTGGACGGCGCATGCGTATGGGAGGAATGGGGGCGGGATGCGCATGCGCAGGCGACGGCGGGCCGGGAATGGGGTACGCGTTGCGGGTGCAGGCCTGGGGCGCGCATGCGCGGGAGGCCCAGGGTGCGCGCGGCCGGAGCGCTCCTCACGTTGCCGCTTGTTTATCTGCTGGGTTTCCTCCCATGCGCCAGTTCATTTGAAAGGGTTCTTTTGAGAGGGACATGTTTGAAAACAGCATTTCCGGGACAGAACGAGGTTGGAGCCAGGACCTGTGGGCTTTCATTCTGGACCCGCCCTGACGTCTTGAGCGCCCGTGGCAGGGCCTGGCCTGGCCGCGCAACTGTGCCCTGTCGCGCTTGCGCTCCTGGCTCTGTGGCATCTCGCGGGCCTTCACTAAGATAGTAAGTGCGAAAGCCCTAGATAAGTGAAAAAACACTACTCAGTCGTCCAGATGTTAGCGTCTGTGCATGGGACCCGTCTTCTCTGCAAGATGCTCGCGGTTGGTTGGAATGTGGCCGCCCTGCACGCTCCAAGTGCACCTCCCGGGGTGCGGAGAGGCCCGCCTCAGACTCCCCGCGTACGTGGGGGAGCCCTGTCCTATGCATCTTCCCAGCAATCCTGGGAGGTTCACGGGGGTGCCTCGGAGACGGTAAGGCTTTGCCCCAAGCCACACTGAGCCAAGCCAGGGCAGGGATTCGATCCCAGATCCCTCGCTCCGCTGCTTGACATGGACTGTCTCTTCCCACTGTGACTCCCACCGCATGTAGCTGCTTCCTGATGAGACGGGGGTCTCAGCCCCCCCGTGGTGCAGTATACATTTGGCCGGTGAATCCGCTATGAGATTATGTGAGTTGGGTGAAAATTGTGTGAGTGCAGTTCTGGCGCCGTGGGTCAACAAGATGGCAAACCCTGACACTGTTCAGCCTTTTCCCAGCTGAATGGTGACCACTCCCATCCCGAGGAGGCCGTGTCCTCAGCTGTCCCACAACGAGGAAAAATAGAATCAAGTACATTTGAGACTTCTGCATTCAGTGCTTGTTTTATCTTCTCTGATTCATGGAGTATTTGCCTTTGAGCTTGCCCACTGAGCTAAAGACGTAGCGCCATTCTTTATAACATGTCTAAAAAGTTACCATGCGTGATCAGTGAAGAATCTTGTAAAAACCTTTATTTTGGGTTGTCAGCTCTGCTGCAGATGTCAGTTATGTAGAAAGAAATTTGTATTTAGAATAGCTCAATTAATGCTTCATGCTTTAAAAAGAAATGTCATTTTGATTCCTATTTAAGTAGGAGCTGTTGAATCATAATTGGGAAGCGTGAACTGATTATTCATCAATTCATTAAATCTAAGAGAATGCAAAACAAGATTTTACCATTTTCAAAGGATCAGAAAGAAGGTTTTCAAAGACAGATGAAACTTAACTGAGGAGAGTATTAAAAAGATGTTCAACATGGAGTTTCTTAACTTCATTCTACACACATACATCAAGCATGGGCTATGTACCAGCATCCTTCCCTGTGTGGGGACAAAGCAGAAACGCTCTAGTGCCTGCCCTCACAGAACAGCTGGTGGGAGAGCACAACCTGACTGGGCGGTGATGGTGCCGTTGGGCGATGGGGTCTGGCTGCTGAGTGAACAGAGATGGGCATGACGGGAGGACTGCAGTCAGGGAGCATCCTGGCAGGGGCAAAGGCCCTGTGGTCCTGTCTGGGTGCAGCAAGGATGTTGGTGGAACAGAAGGGCAGCAGAGTGCAGGCCAGGCTCTGGTTCATGTAGGGCCTGGGGGTCATGGTTAAGAAATGGGTAATGCTGAGGGGGCCGGAATGGCTTTAGAGGTTCTTGGTAGGGGCCGAGTGTGTGGCTTGATGGTTAATTAAGTTACTGCCTAAGGAATTCTTAAGAGACTCTGCTGATACAACCAGTAACAGCATAACAATTTCTTTCTTAAGTTATTAGTTTTTGTATTTGATGATCAATCTGTATTCCTACCTTTCAGAAAACTTAGGGGAAAATAATTGATAAATATGAATCAGAAGGACAAGGTAAGGCATTCAGTTTACTTTTTTCCAGGAAATGGGAGGCTTTAAACCTCTATCAAAGAGTCTCAAATCTTGAACTTTAGTTTCCCGAACAACAAGCTATGTGCAAACACTTTGGTGAACTTTGTTCTCCTCTGGAACCTCCACCATGTTCCTTTGGATGGGGCTGTAGGTTCACTGGTCACTGATATGAGGGTGTTCTCCCTCATATCACGTTTGGAAAGAATTCAAAACACACGCTGTGAGATGGAAGTTACTCAAGGCTGCAGAAAGGTGTCTGAGTCTGGGCAACAGGACTGCTGCCCTTGCCACTAAGGTCCTACCTTTTCTCTTGCAGGCGCTGTGTGCAGTGGCTGAAAGTCACGGGCCTGTTTGTCTTTGTGGTGCTGTGCTCTGTGAGTACCGTGGCTGCCCCAGCACTGCTGTTGGGTCCGTGGAAGCCCTGTGTGCCTTTGGCTGTATAGCAGGGGGAACCTGAGATGTGGGGCTTAGTGCCTGGCCCTCTTCACCTGATTATCTGACTTTCTTTGGAGGAGATGTGAGGGTTGTGGGGCAGCAGGCTGAGGGGGTCGAGGGCCGCAGCTGTGCCCTCTGCTGTGGTCCCAGTCACACAGCAGAAGCCGGGCAGCATGGTGTTGCCATGTGGAAGGCCGGGTAGCTGGCTGTGGGGCTCGCTTCCCTCCTCGAGTGGTTTCCTACTTCCCTGTTCAGCCTCGGACAGTAGCACTGTTCGTGTGTGTTGGGACACATCTGGAGATCGTGGATAGCCCAGAGTGTCTCAGTGCTCCTTTGAGATTGTGCGCTGGGCCTTTGTCCAGCGGTGTGTGTTGAAGCTCTGAAGTTTGCCCCTCTGGGGAGGTGTCTCTGATTTTATTTGCCCAGACATCTCCATCCTTTCAAATACATGAATATTCACAACAGACACATTCTGGAGCCAAACCAACGTCAGATGCCCTCGTAGGGAACAGGGTGTGGGAATGAGGGGAGGGTGAGGGCTGCTTTGGTGAGCCCATGGCAGTGGGCGGTGCTGTTCTTCACTGGAGGGGTCCCAGCAGATGGACCCACCAGGGGAAAGGCACAGGAGCCCGAGCAGGGAGCCAGGGCCGCAGGGACACCTCTGTGCCCTCTGAGGTGACAGCCATGAGTCCCACTGCCAGCCTTGCTGTGCTCTGTGGCCTGGTGTAGCCTGAGTCAGGGTCACATAGTGGCACTCAAAATACATTTGCCCAATGAGTGGGTGTGTGGCCCCTGTCTCTGGTTGCATGTCTGTGTGTGTGCAGGTGGGTGTGTGGTCCCCTGTCTCTGGTTGCGTGTCTGTGTGTGTGCAGGTGGGTGTGTGGTCCCTGTCTCTGGTTGCGTCTGTGTGTGTGCAGGTGGGTGTGTGGTCCCTGTCTCTGGTTGCGTGTCTGTGTGTGTGCAGGTGGGTGTGTGGTCCCCTGTCTCTGGTTGCGTGTCTGTGTGTGTGCAGGTGGGTGTGTGGTCCCATCTCTGGTTGTGTGAGTGCGTGTGGGTGTGTGGTCCCCTGTCTCTGGTTGTGTGTCTGTGTGCGTACAGGTGGGTGTGTGGTCTACTGTCTGGTTGTGTGTCTGTGTGTGTCCAGGTGGGTAGGTGGCCCCCGTCCTGGTTCTGTGTCTGTGTGAGTGCAGGTGGGTGTGTGGTCCGCTGTCTCTCGTTGTGTGTCTGTGTGTGTGCAGGTGGGTGTGTGGTCTCCTGTCTGTGACTGTGTGTCATGTCTGCGTGTGGTTGTGTGATGCCTGTGCCTGCTCTGTTTGTGTGTGTGCACCAGTGTGAGCTGTGTAGGTTGTGTGTGGTCCCCTGTGCCTGTTGCGTGTCTCTGTGTGTGCACCTGTGTGAGCTGTGTAGGTTGTGGTCTGTGACCATGATAGGTTGTGCTTGTGCTTTGTGGAGTTGTTTTGGGTGAGTGTCACTTTTGAGTGTTGCTCTAAGATGGTGTGCATGGGCAGTTGTTGGGAGACCACAGTGGGTGGTAGGTGCTGCTGTGATGGGGGTGTGACTGTGGTGGTGGGCAAGGGTGGGTCTGAGCTGTGTTCCATGATGTGCTCTCCCATGCAGCCTGCCCTGGTGACAGGGCCCCCTGTGCATGATGTGAGTGGCTGTTGCTGGCTGTTTCATGACCTGCACGCGTGACATGTGTGTTGTGGCTCTGTGTGCGTGCAGGAATGTCTGTGGCCCTGGGTCAGCTCTCAGCTGCGACATGAGGACAGCAGGGTGGTGTATGAAGTCAGTGCTGATTGCGTTGAGCTGAGTACAGTCAACTTCTTAATAACCAACCCGTGAGGGAGGAGATCTGTGACCCGGAGAAAGGAAACCTGTGCTAGAAAAGGAAAACCAATTACACTGAGCTCTGAAAGCTTCACGATTGATATTTTTGGCTACCAATTTGCCTTGCCACTTCCTACTCACATGAATGTGTGGTTCTGAAGCCCCACTGCTCAGCAGGGCCTGGCAGGTGCTCTAAGATTTCAAAGGAACCAGGCTGGGTGGGCCAGGTCTCCCCTAGTCCCTAAGAGCTGACCTGAGCTGTGTCCAGTCTTAGCCTTCTTCTGTGAGATGGACTTTAGGTGATTTGTGGATATATCCAAAATGGAATTTGAGGAATGATTTGAATTTCTATAATCTCATGTTATCATCAGTTTAATTTACTTTTTGATGGTGTATAAGGTGCTTTGCAAATTTCACAAACACCTACTACCACAAACACATGCTCTAACCATTAGAGGGGTCATATTCCTTTATTCTCCAATGTGAGAAAACCACATTTGTACCTCTTTGATGATTTAATTTTATGGCCAGGCATTTAATCCTTAAAATTGGCAGTTATCAATAATCAGAGCCCATTGTAGCAGAACACTGTAATGAATCAGAATAATGAATCAGAATATTTTAATATTTAAGACAAAGCTATTCTGAGTAAGCTGCTTCGTTCTGGATACACACAGTAGCCCCATCATCACATCCGTTTTCGACTGTTTTCAGAATGATTTCTACCTTACTGCTCTCATACCACACCTCTGTCATTCAACATTTCTGATTCTTACAGATTTTGTTCAGCCTGTATCCGGATCAAGGAAAGCTCTGGCAGCTGTTGGCCTTGTCGCCGCTGGAGAACTACTGTATCCAAAATCCACTCTGAGATGGCCGGCCGCCTGGCTGAGATCTGAAACGCAAGGAGACACTCACGGACGGTTGTGACTGCTGCTGAAGGCCACGGCACAGGCCATTACCATTCCCACCCACCTGAATGTTGTTTCTCCAGATGTTTGATGAGAGATGGGGTCTCAGGACAGAGGGGCAGGGAGCTCCAGGGAGACAGTGGCGGGGTTGGTGGTGGAGCTCTCCGAGCGAGGAAGGGGGAGAGCAGGGCACATTCCAGCCAGGACCTGGCTTTCCCTAGCTCCTGGATACTCCTTTCCCCCCCATCTCTTGTGCGTTCAGCGTGACCCATCTTCCAGTTCATGCCATCCTGGCTGTGTCACCCGGCTCTGGTGACTACCGCAGCACCTCCTGCTGTGCTTGCTCTGGCCGTCTTGCATGCCTCAGAATTTTTCGTCAGAAGTCATACACATCCTGTAGGATAGTAGACACAGAGGCCAGTGGTGTTTAAGCTTGGAGATGAGCATGCCTTGACTTCTGCAGGCATTAGTTGGAGAGTTCATGTAAATCTAGCAAGAATTCGGCTGTGTTGAGGTTTGCGGTTGCTGTGGCAACCTCCGGTGCCCTGGACACTCAGAATTGCCGGGCGCCCTGCCAGCTGTCTGCTAGACCTTGCTCTATGCCCACCCCTGCCACTGGGGTAAGAGCTACTTTTTTTCCCTCCTGCCTTCTCGTAGCTGCAGGAATTCCCACTGCACCCTCCGGCTGCCAGATCTGATGCACTTCCCGAGCAAATGAGGGCCTTTGCTCCTTAGGGGAGATAGAGGCAGCGGGAGAGGGTGAAGCTTGGCATCACCGGGGGATGCTTTCCCGGGATCTTCCCCGGGCTTCCTGTCTTCCTGGGGAGCGTCCGCTGGGGTTCCTGGAGGAAGAGCCTGCGAGAAGATGTGAACACCTCCATCTGTGGCTCTCAGGGGCTGCCACGCTCATGTGAGCCCACACTCGACCTTGAGCAATGTGTACATTTTCTGGTTGAATCCTGCCTGATTCCGAAGTGTGGGGCTGGCACCTGTCCCAGGGAAGCCGCTTCTCCCTACAGTCACCTGTTTTCCTCTAGATTTCAGGCGAGTTGTTTCTGCTGCAGCCTCCTTCTGGGATCAGGAGTGGGCGGTTAACTGATGTCCGCCCAGCCTTTTCTGGGTGAAAGGGTGGGAGCGCTGTTTCCCAGCTCTCCCGCGGGGGTCCAGAGCCTCTTTTGGAATGAACGTGGTCAGTAAGGTGTCTGTGCATGAAGGTCCCTGAAGACCCCGGTGCTGCTAGGGTGGCGGGCTTCCGGGGAGGGTCCTGGAGAGGTGGGACCCTCCGATGGGGTGCTCTGATCAGGCCAAATATTTTTGATGATTATTATTTAAAAAAAGGAATTAATTTAGTTAGCTAAATGGCAAGATGTTTTTTTCTTTAGCCTACTTACCTGATAGCCTCAGTGAACTGAAATTTTAGGAAACTGGCTTGCTTTCCTTGCAGTTGCTGTCATCGGTTGCGTAGCCTTGGTTTCTGTCATCCTTCTGGCAGTCTCACTGCATCTTCCCAGGGCACCCTCTCCTCAGCCAGCGACCTGCCCAGCAGCCTTCCAGAAAGGCCTGGCGCTGGAGGCTTTCTGGTGGGTGGGGGGGCACTGGTCATGGTTTGTGCTTCCCTCTGCTCCGTGGACAGAGGCACCCACAGTTTTAGAAGCTCCCACTTCCATTGGGGTCAGGGCGGTGCTGATGTCAGCTGAGCGTGTGTGCATGTGTTTGTATTTTCTTCATCACTTTAAAACTGTGCCTGAGCCTTAAAGTATCTCCGTGTGAGAGAACCAATGAGCTGTGTGATGCTGACAGACTTTGTTTCTCATTCTTGGGCCTCGACCTCTGCATCGCTTCCCTAGGATGAAGAAAGGCAAGACGTGCCCCGTGTTCCTGGACCCTTCATGAAGTTCCCAGGACACGCCGCCCTCCTGGGCACGACTTCCCGCAGGGGGCAGGGGAGATAGAGCAGCCAGCTGCCAGGCTGACCCAAGAACCTGAAGGGGGAGGCGGGATCCTGTCCGGAAACCGTCCTCAGTGGGACTCAGGCAGGAGGGGGAGATTTCGGGGGACACTGGCACTGAACCTGATCAGTCAGTGGAGATCACAAGGCCAGCACGACAGCTTAGGGCACCAAGATGGTACGATAGCCTCAGCCCTCTGTTCATCCCACCCGGGAACCAGGGTGCCCCCTTTATTCTAAGGCATTTTGCCGAGTTCCTTCTCAAGCAGCCTGAGTGCCCCAGGCCCACGCGGGACCCTGCGGCCTGAGTGCATCCCCGCAGGGGACAGGCCAGCTTGCCTTTCTTGGCAGGGGTGGGGATGGGTGGGGGCAGGGAGTTCTCGCCTGCTCCCTGCGTGGCCTTGGAATTTGGACGAAGAGGGAGAGAGCCTGGGAGAGCTGAAGGCCGCAGGGGGGACGATGGGTCACCAGCCACGATGGGGGTGATCTGAGCCTCCAGCAGGCTCCTTGGAAAAGGGCAGCGTTCCCAGCGTTCCCAGGGATTAACAGCGGTTTCTGGAAACTCACGGACCCTCTCAAAAGACCCTGAGCTTTGTGAAGGCTGCAGGCCTGAGGTCTGCTTGGGGAGGAGGGGAAGCCAGCTGGACCCCGCCCCCGACAAGGTGATTCTCAGAGAAAGGGCGCGCAGTGTAGACGTGAGGTAGGAGGGGCCTCGGGCTGGTTGGAAAGGCCCAGAACAACATCCTCAGGGCTGTCGTCTGAGCAGGGAGCTCTGAGGCCTCCTCCCGGCCCTCTGGCCTGTCCTCTGGAGGAGCCTGGGTGAGGGACACCGGGGGTGGCTGCTGTGAGGGGAGAGCTTCTGGAGAAAGCACCAATCTCCTTTAGCTGGTGAATGGCACAGCCACCTTTCTTTCGGAACCTCAGTGTCTCCCGCAGCACAGTTGGGCTGTGTGGGTTCCGTAGTTGCAGGGTCTATTTTAGAAGCCTGTAATTGCAGCACCTGAAGTGCTTTGTCCCTGAATGGTTATCTGCGGGAGGCCTGTCAGAGGCTCCCAGGGCAACGGGCAAATGAACAGAAGCCAGCAAACTTCCACAAGCAGGTCAGTTATGGGCGCCCTCCCTTCCTTCCACTCTCCCTTCTTTTCCTCCCTCCCTTCCTACTCTTCTTTGCTGCCTCTTCTTTCTCCTCTCCCTTTCTCTCTCCTTCCCTTCTCCCCATTCTCCCCCTTCTCTCCCTCCTTCCCCCTCCCGTCTTTCCTTTTTCCCAGGTGATGCATTTTGTATCACACCCAGCGTGCAGCCTGGGCTCTCAGAGGATGTGGAGGAGACTGTGATTCAGAGGGGAGGAGAAAACACCGTTTCCCTGCCCTCTTAGCGTCTCCAAGCAGGGCCCTGCAGAGTAGACACGAAGGACAGGTTAACAAGGAAAAGGCACACTCATGTGTTTCATATAAGTGTTGCCTGACAAGAAACAGCTGAGCTTGGGGTTCTGCTGCTAGGTTTGATGAAGAGTGGAGACTCGTGAAAGGCGTGATCGGACGAGAGCACATGAGCAAGCGCAGGAAACGGGCTGGGAGGGGCCCTGGCAAGGCCTGTCCGTTCAGGTCCCTCTTGGCCTCCCTCCATCTTTGCAGCTAAGGATGCACCCTTCCCCCGGTGTGGGGGGCGCCTCTCATACGAGGGTCACGACCTGCTTCAGGGGAGTTAGGTCTGGAATGAGGGCTGAGATGTGGGCAATGGGAAAGGCAGGAAGATTGTGTTGATGGCTGAGGGCATGGGGCACCTGGGGAAACGTGTTTCTTCGCACGCTGTCAGAGGAGGGTGTGCGTCTGGCGGGCGGTGGGAACATGGGGTTCCTCCTGCCTGCTTTACGGTTCTCCTTGACACTCCCGCAGCCGTGAACCTCAGCAGCCACGGGGACTCCACGCTGCTGCAGGTGGACCTGGCCGGGGCCCTCGTGGCCGGCGGGCCCAGTCGTTCTGGGAGGGAAGAGCGCCTCCTGGTGGAGCTGACCCAGGCCGACACTTCGGGCTCCAGGTGGCGGCGGCCACAGCAGGTTATGCTGGTAATTTATTTGAAAGGATTGTGAAATCTCATTTCATCTCATAATAAATTGTGTTTCCTCTTGAGTGGATTTGATGGGGAGCCACAGGCGAGGACACCATTCTTAGTCAGTTCATTGGCTCTTCTTATGTTTTGCTTTGTCTTTGAAATTCTCTGTTTACCATTTCTCCATTTATCAAATTCTTGCCATTTCAGTACAATCAGGCTTGCAAGTTCTTTATTCAAAACTGTTTTGCCGGGCCATTCAGGAAATATACATTTGAAATGAAAAAACTTTTTTTGGTGTTGTAAAAGTGCAGTTAAGTCTGGGCCTTACGTCATGGTTCAGAAGACAGTTCCACAGCACATTACTGTGTTCGTGGACACCTGCCTAAGTTCTGAGCTGCTGCATCTGTGTAGGCCTGTGCGCAGCCTTGTCTCTGAGCCTTGTCAAGCCTTCATTCACATCCTGCAAAGGCAGCCGGGGAGCGGTGTCTGTCATGGCAGCCCAGAGCCTAGACTCCAGAGGCAGGGCCCCTTCCATGCAAGCCTGGCCCCCGAGCCCTGGCCTGGGAGACTCCACTCTGCATTATCACTGTGACTTCTGTGTGGAAGTCAGCCCCGGCTTATGGATGTTCCGTTATAACCAGTAGCAGGAAACCCCGCCCATGCGCAGGCTGCATCACCTGCAGGGGAGCGTGTGAGGAATGAATGCACCCTCACCTTTCCTGCCTTGCAGAGCATGGTGCACAGAGCTGAGGTCTCGTTATGAACTAGCATGCAGTGTCCTAGACCATGGCTGACGCAACACCGATGTTCTGAACCGGCTGCCCTGGCCAGGGTCCTAGGATGTCAGCTTGGTTCCCCGTGTGAAGAGCAGAGCCCCTTGGCAAGGGGCTCCTTGGTGATGAGCGATGGCCTTTGCCCTCTGACCTGGGCCTTGCATGGAGAAGGGCAGGACCTCACCCAGCCTGCGGTCCTGCTGCCTCCCCAGCACTTGCATATTAATAACCCAGGTTAAATGATCTGTATGGCACCTCCCTGCTCTCTGGGGTGGCCCTTCCCAACGTGCTGACCCAAAATGCCCACGGGCAAATCCAGGCCCAGAAACATGGAAACACAGAGATCTTTACTAAAGGATTTTTCCCCCAGACACGCTCTTTGCAAACACAGGTACTTAAAAGAACTTCTCTCATGCATATGCTGCTTTGCTCTGACCAGTTTCAGAGACCTGTTTTCAGTGTCCGTTGTGATTGGCGGGTGAGATTCGCATCTTCCCATGGAGGATCCCCCTCCCTCCCCAGGCTGCCTCCCTAGCTGATCACTGTCCTGTACCCCAGGGGCAAGAACACGCAAGGCAGGGAATGAAGCTTCACCCTGGGGCCCTTCCTTGCAGGGGCTCCTGTGCACAGGGGTGTGGGAGGTTTGCGGGGGGTGGGTTTGTTGCCTCCAGGTTGCAAGCAGTTGCAGAAGCAGTTCTCGGGACTCAGAGAGCTCAGAAGAGTCCTCCAAGTCTCTAGTAACTTGGAGTGATTCATTTTTTAAATTTAAAAAATTTTTATTAAAAAACTTTTAGAGTTGGGGATCTCACTCTGTTGCCCAGGCTGGAGTGCAGTGGTGTGATCACAGCTCACTGTAACTTTGAACTTCTGGGCTCACGGGATTCTCCTGCCTACGCCCCTAAGTGGCTGGGACCACAGGCACATGCCACCAGGCCTGGCTAATTTTTAAAATTTTTTTGTGCAGACAGGGGTCTTGCTCTGTTGCCCAGGCTGATCTTGAACTCTTGGCTTCAAGTGATCTCCCACCTTGGCCTCCCAAAGTGGGATTACAGGCGTGAGCCGCCGCGTCTGGGCGTGATTTGTTTTTCTTGTATTAAATCACTACTTCTATGCCTTTTGCACTTTTGTACGCTAATTCTGCATTTTTTCTTTTGAATCCTTTTTCTTAAAGAAAGCTCTCCAAATTGTGGAAATTCCCAGCTCCTAACATCAGAGCTAACATAGGAGCAGTAGCTTCTAACATCAGATATGTGAGAGCTCAAATAAAGATGCCCCCATTTCTTTCTTTCTCCTCTTATTTGAAACAAATACCTAGAGCGAGCAGTGCCAGATCCCAGATGGTGTCTCAGGTGAAAAGCCTCACCATAACTTTATGCTTTGGCTTGTACAGGTCACTCACAACTGGACGGTGTATTTAAATCCGAGGAGAAGCGAGCGCTCCGTGATGAGCAGGACCTTTGAGGTACTGGGCAGGTGAGTTCTCAGTGAGTGAGATGTTGGGGCAGGCTCTCCGGGACACACGCGTTTAAAGGAGTCTGACCTGCAGGACACTGAGTTTCGGCCCACGCAGCACCAGGTCAGCATGTGGCTTGGACACGGTGCTCATGCTGTGTAGACAGTGAACTCAAAGGCTGTGAGAAGGCATCGTAGCCATGGGTGTCAGGATGTAAGAGGGTTGACTGCAGAAGTCATTTTGAAACAAATGGCAGTTTTTGGTTGATGTTCTAATTTCGTTAATATTGTGAAGCTGTACAATGGAGAGTTCTAGAAAATTTAGGATTCTAGGGCCGGGCGCGGTGGCTCAAGCCTGTAATCCCAGCACTTTGGGAGGCCGAGACGGGAGGATCACGAGGTCGGGAGATCGAGACCATCCTGGCTAACCCGGTGAAACCCTGTCTCTACTAAAAAATACAAAAAACTAGCCGGGCGTGGTGGCGGGCGCCTGTAGTCCCAGCTACTGGGGAGGCTGAGGCAGGAGAATGGCGTAAACCTGGGAGGCGGAGCTTGCAGTGAGCTGAGATCCGGCCACTGCACTCCAGCCTGGGCGACAGAGTGAGACTCCGTCTCAAAAAAAAAAAAAAAAAAAGAAAATTTAGGATTCTTATTCCTTAACTAATGCTGCTTCATATTCAATCGGTACTCTTGGTTGGCGTATTAGACAGCTAAGGCTGCCGCATCGTAGTACTACACACTGGGTGGCTTAACTGTCAGACATTTACCTTGTGATCCTAGAGGCTGGAAGTCTGAGGTCAAGGTGTCGACAGCGTCAGTTTCTCCCAAGGCCTCTCCCCTGGCTTACAGGTGGCCATCCCTCTGTGCCTGTCTTCTGATCTCTCCTTGTATGGACACCCATCCTACTGGATTAGCACTCATCCCCATGACCTCATTTAACCTTCCTCACCTTTTTAAAGACCCTACGTCTACCTACAGTCCCATTTGGAGGTACTCGGGGTTAGGACTACAACCTAGGAATTGTTTTTGGAGGAAGGGGACACAATTCAGCCCATAAAACGTATTGACTGAACTTGAAAAAACGCTCTGGTGTCCGCCACTGACCTGTGGTCGCTTGCAGGCTTCTCGTCTGGAGCGTGTCTCCTCACTCTCAGGGACTGGAGTTCAAACAGCTGGCTTTGCTCTTAGTTAGCAGGTGAAGTGGTTGGGTATGTTGGGGAGGAGGAAGAGCCAGTTCAATGGCTGGCGTTTCTGTGCAGGCCCCTACTCACTCTTCACTGTCAGGTGGTGTCACAGGAGGCTGAGGGGCCTGCTTGGACCGGCCCGGCTTGGCCGCAGGGAGGCTGCGTCCTGTGTCTCATGCCGCTGGCCTGTGCTCACTGCTCTTCCAGCTGTGAGATCGGGCATTGGGCTGAATCGTTCTGAGATCCATTTGGATTCTGGTTAATGTCTGGCTGATATAGAGGGAGGTGCCCTAACTGTTGACGTTGTGAACAGTGAGGTCGTCGTTTCGTTCTGCAGAGAGACGGTGTCCATCAGCATCCGGGCCTCCCTCCAGCAGACCCAGGCTGTCCCTCTTTTGATGGCTTATCAGTACCTCCACGCGAGTGTAGAAGCCCAAGTGACCATCGCCACGGCCATCCTCGCGGGCGTCTACGCGTTGATCATATTCGAGGTAACTTTCACACCTGCCCCCCCGATCTGTCTGGGCCCACCGTCAGGGAGGCTTGAGACCTCTGACACTCTGGATGGGCTCGGTCCTGACTCCTAAATCTAACTGGACTAGTGTCATCATTCCTGAAGATTAGCGTGTCCCTCTCTCTAGGTAGAAAGGGAACCATACAGGAATATTTGCTGAATCTTGGCAACTGACATGAGAAGGATGGGTTTTAGGAGCAGAAGTGTACCTGAGAAAACAGAAAGTGCATTCGATTTTCTACCCTCTCTCCGCTGCTCACTCCAAGTGTGACCATGAGGGAACAAGAGTTGCAGTCTCCTCTGAGACTCAGAGTCTGCACCTGTGTGATGAGTACACTCATTTGCGCCCACCTGCACCGTGGGATTGTGTGTGTGAGGGGACATGGATGGCCTGAGGTTGTGTGCCCAGAGGGATTATCTGATTATCTGTTTTGTCTGTCAGCTTGGCTCATGGGCATTTCCACATGTGATCTTAAGTCCAGTCAATGTGATGTTTCTGGAAAGTTCTAAGTGTGGCTGTGCCTTCAACAGCACAAAGCAACGTGCAGACCCTTCTTGGGCTGGGCAGGTCCATTGTTGATTTAACTATGAAATCAAACTTCCTCACAACACGGACAGGAGCCCGGAAGGTCAGTGCATGACGTGACCATTAGAGGTGCCTCCTAGTGAACTTGGGATAGGTCTGAGAAATACGTGAGGATGTTGAGGAGATGGCAGGCTGGAGGAGTGACCAGGAAAATTCCAGAATTTTGCCTGTGGTTGTTGAGTCTACCTGCTGAGGAATGATGACCCCAGTAAGTTGAGCCCTTACCTGTCTTAACAAGGGCCACTCACGGGATTGTTATCTCTTACATCGCTTCTGTTCTAGAACAGTTTTGTTCCCTCCGTTTTCTATCCGTTTTCTTTTCTTTTTTTTTTGAGACGGAGTCTCGCTCTGTCGCCCAGGCTGGAGTGCAGTGGCCGGATCTCAGCTCACTGCAAGCTCCGCCCCCGGGTTCCCGCCATTCTCCTGCCTCAGCCTCCCGAAGTTGGGACTACAGGCGCCGCCACCTCGCCTGGCTAGTTTTTTGTATTTTTTAGTAGAGACGGGGTTTCACCGTGTTAGCCAGGATGGTCTCGATCTCCTGACCTCGTGATCCGCCCGTCTCGGCCTCCCAAAGTGCTGGGATTACAGGCTTGAGCCACTGCGCCCAGCCTGATCTTCTTTTAAATCAATATTACTGTTTCACGGTTCCCATGACCACTGTGTGATTTGACACAGGAACTCGCAGGCTCAGGGGCAGCTGTCCTCTGGGCTGGGGTTTACTGCCATGCCTGGCAGTGGAAACCTGCTGAGCCTGGAGGAACCCAGGAGCCGGCTTCTGAAAGATCTCCTCTCCTGGGAGGGCCCACACAGAGCACGCCCCTCCCTCCAGCAGCCAGAGACAGCCCCATGCAGTGTTTCTGCCCCGGGCGGCCTGTTGGAGCCTGAGTTTTTGTGGGGGCCGATTAGATAGTCACACCCTCAGCTTACCAAGATCCCGACTCCCAGAAGGCAAGCAGGTGCACACCATTTATAAATTACATTTTATACAGTGTGGGCATGCAGGACATGCCCAGAACACACTGGGAACAGAATACAGCAGAACACACCGCCCCAGGCCCACAAGACAGCCCTCTCCTCGGTAACGAGGGAACAGTCCCGAAGCTGAGTACCCCGAAGCCAGCCAAGGGCCCTTCTAACGGTGGCGTCCTCAGACCAGGCAAAGTCTTTACCACACCACCATCTAGTTGACAAATCCTGTTCTGTTGTTCTGTAGAATGTTCTATACCCTGATTCAGCTGCTGGGTTCCTCATGGGATTAATTAGCTGCTCTATCCTATTTTCTACAGACTACAATTGAGATCTGAAGGCTGCAGGTTCCATTTTGGGGCACCCATGCTTCACAGGTGGGCAGGGGTCTGGGCTGCGTCCGGGAGGAGGACCCTGTGTCTGGATGTCCCGCTATCAGGGGTGCGGAGAATGTCCAGGGAGTTGAGGTGGTGGAGAAAGGTGCCCAGCTCCCTGCCACCTTTCTCTTAATGATTTTAATACCCCACCAGGGCCCACTGCCCGCCTAAGATAAATCCTATTTCTGTAATGATCAACTTTCTTAGTAATGAGCTCTTCCCTTAGTAACTTCCAGTGGTGTCCACTGAATTTATTTAGTTTCTCTCTTCCCCCTTTTTACTATTATTTTGCAATTATAGGTTTAATAAATTCAATGTGCTTTAATTAGTTAACAGTCATTAATTAAAAAATAAAATACAATGCAATTATTTTAATAGGCTTCTCTGTTATTCTAGGTTTGTTCACCTTTTGTGTAAAATTGTTCAACCTTCGAAAACTACATAATTAGCAAAGATTTATTAATTTTTATTAATTAATGGTCATTATTATTAGTCATTTAGAAAAAAACCTCTCCTTCTCTACAAAAAGCCATCTCTAGATTTTAAAAGTCCTGTAAAGAGGCCAGTTCGACATGGTTTCGGCCCTTGTAGACACAAAAAGCAGAGGCCACTACACACAAACCAGCCTCACACAGAAGGGAGTGTGGCAGGGTCTCAGGAAGGGCCTTGGAGGGCGGTCCCTGTATTCCACGAGCAGTGTGGCAGCCCAAGACCTCCAGAGGCTGCCTCCCCATGCAGCCCGTCCGTTTCCTGGCAGTCTTTCAGCAGGTCTCCCTACACGGCTTGCTCTACACATCTGGTGGTCCAAGGCCCTTCTTTCATAGCTGTCCACATGCCCCTGCCCCAAAGACCACGTGACAGGGTGTGGTCTTTCTACTGGTGTGCAGCGATATCTTACTGTGCTTTCAACTTAATTTCTCTCATGATGATAATGTTGGACATTATCTTTTCATGTATTTATTTGCCACCTGTGTTATTCTTCAGTGTGATGTTGTACATGCCTTTTGCTTATTTCTAATTGAATTGTTTGTTTTTGTAAATGTTGAGCTGTGACTGTTCTTTATATATTATGAAGACTTGTTGATATGTGGTTTGCAAATATTTTCTCTTAGTCTAGTTTATAATTTTTTTTTTTTTTTTTTTGAGACAAAGTGCTGGGATTACAGGTGTGAGCCCAGTGCAGCCTTTTTTTTTTTTTTTTTTTTTTTTTGAGATAGAGTCTCCTCTGTTGCCCAGGCTGGAGTAAACGGCCTGATCTCGGCTCATTCCAACACTATCTCCTGGGTTCAAGTGATTCTCCTGCCTCAGCCTGCCAAGTAGCTAAAACTACAAGCGTGTGCCACACGCCTGGCTAATTTTTTTGTATTTTTTGTAGAGACGGGGTTTCACCATGTTGGCCAGGCTGGTCTCGAACTCCTGGCCTCAAGTGATCCACCACTTTGGCCTCACAAAGTGCTGGGATTATGGGCATGAGCCACAGTGCTGGCCAGTTTTTTTCTGTTATAGACTGTGGTTTGGCTGTCAAGTCTAAGAACTTATTGCTTCGTTGCAATAATTCCAGAGTCAAAGATTGGTTTTCTTATTTTTTTTTTTTCAGTTTTACTTTTAAGACCAGGATCTATTTGAAGTTAGTTTTATTATTATTATTTTTTTCTTTGAGACAAGGTTTCACTCTGTCACCCTGGCAGGAGTGCAGTGGCATGATCACAGCTCACTGCAGCCTCAAACTCCTGGGCTCAAGTGATCCTCCTGCCTCAGTCTCCCAAGTAGCTGGGACTACAGGTGTACAATACCATAGCTGGCTAAGTTTTAAAATTTTTTTGTAGAATTAGGGTCTTGCTATGTTGCCCAGCTGGTCTTGAATTCCTGGCTCAAGATTCTCCTGCTTTGGCTTTTAAAGTGCTGAGATTACAGGTGTGAGCAACTGTGCCAGCCTTGAGTTATTTTTGTATTTGTGTGAGAGTTTTAAGTGAAAGTTTATTTTAAACCTATGAATGTCCCATTGGGCCAGCACCATTTATTGACAAGACTAGCCTCCTCAATTGAACTGCATTTGCTCCTTGGTTAAAAGTTAGTTGGACATATTGTGGGGTGTATCTCTGGGTTCTCTATTCTGTCCATTGGTAATGTGTCTGTTCCTCCACCAGTACCACACTCTCTTGATTATTGCAGGTGTCAGTTTGGACACTGGGAAGAGTGATTCCTCACACTTATTTATTTTTTTTCCCAAATTGTTCTGGCTATTCTGTGGCCATTTTTTCCATATACATTTTCCCCACTTCTTCATCCAGCTTTATTGGAATAAAGTTACATTTCTATTTTCTAGGACTTCAATTGCTTTTCATGTGGTGCTTTGACATCCACATTTAGAATGGCCTTCTAGTCCTGAAACATAATATTTATTTTGGTTTTCTTTGATTTTTAAATAATTTTCATGATACTGATCTTGCACATCTTTTCTTAATTTCTACCTGTTTCCTTTTCTTTGGAGCAATTGTAAATGGTACTGAGTTATTTTGATTTCCACTTATCTATTGTCAGTACATATAAATGCATTTTTCTGTGTGTTAATCTTGTACCTTGTTATTTTATTGAATTTATCCTCAGAGTTTTTTAAAAATAAAATTATTGAAATTTCCTATGTAGACAATCATGTCATTTGCAATGAGGACAGTTTTATTTCTTCTTTTCCAATCTGTATGTCTTTAATTTCTTTTTCTTGCCTTATTGCAGTGGCGAGTATGAGAATGGTAAGATTGGCATTGTTCTCAATCTTAAAGGGAAAACATTCAATCTTTCACTATGTAGTATGATATTATTAGTTTTTTGTAGATGCTCTTCATGAGACTGAGGAAATTCTTTTCTTTTCCTAATGTACTAAGAGGGTTTTTTTCTGTTGTGTTTTTTCCTTTCTTTCTGTCTCTCTTTTTAAAACCATAATCGGGTGTTGAGTTTTGTTAGCATCTTTTCTGTGTCAGTTGATGTGCTCATATGGCTTTTTCATTAGCTGCTTGATATGGTGAATTACGTTGATTTATTTTAGAAAAT